GGGCACCATCTAGTTCTTCTGGTATCAGGCTGATGAAGTCTCTGGTTTATGTGGCCGTTTCTGTCTCTTGAAGCCCTGTGTTTCTTATCATCTAGATCTTTCCCACAGCAATTGACTGAGTCTAGACTACATACCATTTTCAAATGCTCTTGAGACCACCTGCAATTCCAGAAAAGAAAACACAATGATAATCAGATCCTGCTGGCTACTGTTGGCACAGGCCTATTGCTCTCTTGGTACTTTAGAAAACAGATGGAAAGCAGAACTTGAGTTCTGGACCCAAAAGTAAGCAGAGAGAACACTGGTGGAAAAGGCATGAGCTGTTCCTGTAGGATGTTTCTCTAAAGCCATTTCTGTTTTCAGTTCCAAAATTCTTAATCCAAAGAGAAATTACTGCTGAGGAAAAGGCCCCCAACCATAGAGTTTATGACCTGATGCTACCAGTTTTTGTATGCCCTCTTGAATCAAGTAGTAGTTGGTAAGAGTGTCCCTTTGAACCACCAAAGAAAACCGTATCTGTCATCTGTTATGTACTTTGGTGTTTTCATATCTGAAATCACGTGAAAAAGAAATAAACCAAGAAAGCAACATTTCTGTCTCAGACATTGATTGACAAGCTCACCTTAGCACTAGATGCAGCCTCCTCATCTGTGCAGTCTGTGAATATGTCCTTCAATGGGTCATCCAGGGAAGCTAGGAGGACACAGTAACTGTCAGTACATTGATGGGGCTGCTCGTGAATATCTCGACGAGCTTCACTTGATTTGGAAAATGAGCTAGAATGCTTGGAGGTACTTTTTTTTTAAGCATGGACTGAGCTGATGCTGGGCCATCCTTGGTGGAGGAAACATGGCAGAGGACAGGAGCACAAAAGAAATGAGAAACAGAGTCCTTGGCTTTTAGCTAAGGTAACCTAAAGCAACGTGAAATAGTCAGTCTACAAATGATTCTGAAACACACGCTGTGATGTAATGGCAGAGTCTCTTCAGTCCTTCTGCCTGTTTGAAGTCCAGCTAAATGGCCAGTGTCTTCTTGCCATCTCCCAAGACCATTTCAGCCTCCACAGGTCCACGTGTGCTGCTACTTTTATCATCAGTAGGATAGAATTTGCACTTCCTTGAAAGCACGCTTGCGTTTGGGACTGAACACATACTATTTTATTTATTCCCCAATCCTTTGTTATATAAATAGCCAGTTATGGAAGCTTTGAAAATACTGAAATCCTACCACTAGCCTGAGACCAGAAGAACTAGATGTTGGCTGGCTACCACCAGTGACCGCCCTGACAGGGAACACAACAGAAGAGTCTTGGACAGAGCCGGAGAAAAGTGTGAAGCAGAACTCAGATTCATGTAAAAAGACTAGACTTAATGGTCTGACAGAGACTGGAGGAGCCCCCAAATCTCTTGGTACCTGGAACCTCTGTTAACCCAGATCTGAAAACCTTCCTGAAGCCCACACTTCAGAGGAAGATTAGACAGGAGTATGAAACAGAAAATAATACACGTGAAGAGTGTACTTCTTTGTTCAATCAGATACATGAGACCAAATGGGCGGCTCCTTCTGGGAGACAGGATGAGAAGGCAGGAAGAGATAGGAACTGTTTGAATGGACACAGGGAACCCAGGGTAGGAAGGGGGAGTATCCCCACAGCAGTCACATTGTGGGGGGATTGCAACTAATGGGACAAAACAATATGTGTATAAATTTTTGTATGAGAAATTAAAAAAAAATGAAGCAGAGAGTGAAGGACTATTAAAAATGAAGGTAGTTAGCCTTCATTGTGTGAAATAGCTCCCTACACATCTCCACCATTCTAGATTCACTCCAAATTTCTGAAATAATTTTAAAAGGTTCTTAATGAGGTCAAAACAGCATTAGAATAGACATTGCCATATTTCCCCAGTGAATACCTAATGGGGACATGAGTTGTACAAGACTTAAGAGGAAATACTACATTTTTGTAAATGAACACTTTTAAAGGCAACATACTTGATAGAAGATTCAAAATAGAGACTGAGGTATAAAACATAACTATAAACCACATTGATAAGTCTGGATGACAAATTGGAAAAGAGAAGATGAAAAATGATGAGAAAAATATTTGGGAAAAA